GCGGGGTGGGCCGGCCCCCGCGGGGCCCCGGGCGGGGGCCCGGGCCCAGGGGGGGGCCCCCCGGGGGGGGGGGGGGGGTACTCGTGTCAGTGCATGCCGTAGTCGTTGGGCGATACACCTCGTATCCTTTCAATGCCGGGACGGAGCGGCATGCCGGATTCTTGCCGGCCCAGGCGCAGGTGTTTTTTTTTTTTTCGTGTGCTGGCTGCTACTTATGCGCGTCGTTGTCCATGTCTTCCCCCCTTGCGTGCTTGTTCCCTTACTTCCTTGTCCCCCCGGGACACGTAGCAGTAGATTGAATCAGTCGTTCACTCTCCCGATCCTGTACACAACAGCGTTGCTCGCAAGTGCAAGAATTATCATCGACGCTGCTGCTGCTGCTGCTGCTGCTGCTGCCGCTGCGGCTGCTGCTGTTTCCTGTGACTGTTTCATTTTCAGATGAATTGCCACGCAGTCTAAACACCCTTGTGTTCGGGCTACCTGCTTGCTCCCCCCCCCCAGGGTTGTGTTTGCTCCATTCGGCCGCGGTATCGACCGGCGGCCGTAGAACGCTGGTTTCCTGTTTGTACCCCGAGCTTCAACATGTAGTGCGTGTGTGTTTGGCCCAAAGAAGCGCAAACGCTTCTAAATGCTATGGTCTGGAACACCTTGATGGAGAGGGTTCATGGCGTATTTGTGCTCCGGTCAACCTCGGTGTCTGAAGCAAGAGGGAATTTTTTTTCGCCCCTTCTGTTTTCCTTCTTTTTTTTTGCGAGAGCAGGAGGAGGCGTTTTTGGAGAGCGTGAAGGGCCTCGAGGAGAGAGCCGCTCGTGCGGAGATGATGCAAGATGGGGAGAGAGCCACCCGGGAGGTACACCGGCCCGGGGGGGGGAGGTTGTGTCACGTTGATTTTTCCTTTCGCCACTCTCTTTGCCCCTCCCCTTTATATCTTTTATGTGCCGTCCTACGCGGCCACTTTTGAGGTCGTCAAGACCATGCCACTTCGTTTTTGTGATACTACCCAAGACGCTACGTGCGCGAACACCGACGTTCGAAAATACGAGTAGCTTTTAATAACGTTTCTTCATAGACCAATGTCCACAAGAGGAGAGCCCCGCACGATCCTTACGCGAAACGTCAGGATCTGCAAGCCCTGCTGGAGGAGGCACGGCAGGCTTCGCTCTCGGCCTCGAGCGACGCCCAGCGAGACCTCTCAGCGGTAAGTCCACAGGCCGGGCTCTGCGGCCAGAGGTAGACAGACAGAGGGGCTATCACCGAAAGCCGTCTCGCGTCCGGGATTCTTTGTTGGCGGCGGTGGTAGTGATGCCTTCCAGCCAGGCGGTAACTGGTGTTAGAAGATGGGGGTTGGATGGTGACGGGTTTGTTCTTCTAAGAGAAGGAGGGGGCGGTATTTACTTCTACTTATTTTGTATTTCGGCGAACGGGTACAAGTACATCCATCCCACTTGCCTCGTAAGAGTAGAGGACTGCGTCGGGTCTCTGCAGGACAACGACGACGCTCTCAATCGCATTCGCCCCATCATCGTACACCAGCATTAACAGCTCGCCCTACCCCGTTTCCTCGCCCACACCAAACCTCTTTGAGACACAAGCACTGTTTGATCCCCACTCTGCTACCGACCCCCTAAAAAAAACACGGCCGCCGACCGGGCGATACAGGCAAACCTACGGGCGGTAGACCTCGGGCAGGAGGCTGCCGCCGCTAGGGCCGAAGCGGAGTCGTTCCGGCGGCGGGCGGAGGCGGCGGAGGCCCGGGCGGGGTCGGCGGGGGCGTCGGCCGGCGACGCGGGCGCCCGGCTTGAGGAGGCGCTCTCCGAGAGCCGCCGCTTGGCCGCGGCGAGCGCAGAGGAGAGGGAGGCGCTGGACAGGCAGTGGCGGCGACGGGAGGAAGAGTGGCGGCTCGCCCTGGAGCGCGCGAGGAGGGGGGAAGGAGCCGGCGGCGGTACCGTTGACGACGAGGCGAGGGGGAGCGCGGCGGGCGGCGGCAGCGGCGGCGTGTTGTTGTTGGCGGAGGTGGAAGAGTTGCGGGAGGCCGTGGACCGCCTCTCGAGGGACAAGGAACGGCTGCTGGACCGACTGCTGTCTTCGGGGTCGTCGCCGTCTGAGGTGGTCGCCGAGGACGCGAGCGCCGCGGGAGGAGGCTCGGGCGACCACGAAGACCGCCGCTGCCGCCGCCGCCGCCGACCAGGCGGGCCGCCCGACGAATGGAGGGACGGCGAACGCTGCTCTCTCGGCAAGGGAGACACGCGGCAACGCGGGCGGGGTCGAGCGGACGGAGACGGGGAGATCGACCGGGGAAGCGAAGGCGCAGACGTCGGGCGGGAGGAGGAGGAGGTGGTGGAGGAGGAGGAGGAGGACGGGCGAGGGGCGAGGGGGGTGGCACGCTCTTCCGTCGCGGAGGCCGAAAAGAGGCACAGCCAGCGCGGCGGTAACGTCGACGGGGGGACTTCCTCAGGCGAACGATCGAGAGACGACGAGGAGGACGAGGAGAGACGACGAGCGGAAGAGGAAGAGGACGAGGACGAGGACGAGGAGGAAGAAGAGCTGCTGATGCCCAGGGGAGGGCCGGCGCCCACCCCTTCGCGCTTCACTCCGCGCAGCGGTGCTGTCGGCCTTGGGAGCGGCGGCGGGGGGCCGGGAAGATGGGTTGCCGCCAGGTCTGCGGGGAGATCGGTTGCAGCGGCCGCTCTGCTCAGGTCGGTTCTGCGGGCGTACCCGACCTGGTCCTAGAGGGGAGCCGGATTCAGCGGCATAGAACCTGTTGTTGTTCCAGCTCTTGGGGATGTAGACAACAGCTAGTCAGCTAGCGATGTCTCTCACACAACTGAAGTAGCTTGTGGTGCACACCAAGAATGACCAGAGCAGAGAAGCGTCAAGCACCGCTGCATTCAACGAAACACAGTAGTGTTTTTTGGGGCTTAGGTTCTGAACTTTGTTCAGCCCCGATCGCGGTGTTCTGTCTGTTGTCGCTTAAAATGACAACAGAAACCGTGGACGTGGAATGCGGCCACCCCAAGACTCCGGCAGCGATGGAAAATTGACCTTGTGCACCAGAGCGCGGCACAACTAAATAGCTGTTGCTTGTATGAGCTGCAGCTCATTCCTTTGGGCCGTGGTCTAAGTTGCCCCCCCCCGGAACAAAAAATAAATAAATAAAAAAAGACGCGCAGGTAGAACGGCAAGTGGATATCTATGTTGCTTCGTCGCCTCCAAGCGGACGAGCCATTGCCGTGGAGGGAGGGAGGGAGGGAGGGAGGGAGCCGGTGGTTTTTCTCACGGCAGCGAGGACATGGAGTGCGCTCTGGGTAGCTAGGTCTTTCGGAAAGGAAATACGCCCGGCTTTACTTCCGCCCTCTCGCCACCGCCTGCCCTCGCTGCTTCCTTGACGCACACACACGCACCCGCCCAGCCCTTATTGTTTTCTCTCTTCTTTTTTTGCTTTGCTTGTCCCGCTTCTCTTCTCTTGATCGCCCCCGCCCACCGGGGGGCAGGACGTCCTTGGCCCGTGAGCGAAGCCTGAGACGGCGGGAGCACGAGAGCCTTCTCGGCCTCCTCCGAAGGGAGAACGTCGTCGTCGTCAACCATCGCCACCGTCCAGCCGCTGCTGCCGCAGCCGCCGCCGCAACGCCGGGTCTCGTCACAGGTGACGGCCGCCCGGCGGCACAGCGGCGGCGGCGGCGGCGGTGGCGGCACCACAATGCCGAGGAGTCCGGGGAAGAGGAGTTGCGGGCGGAAGATCTGGATCCGGAAGAAGACCGCTACAACGACGAGGATGACGGCATCGTTGATGGGGGAGGGGGAGAAGAAGCCGCTGCAGCCCCGCTGTCGTGGGAGGCGTGGAACGACGCTCTCTCGGCCATCGAGGCTCTCTTGCGGTCTAGCAGGCAGGGAGGTGGTGGTTGTGAGGTTAGC